AGAAAATTAATTAAAGGATGCTGGTTCGCAAAGAGCAAAGCCATCGTATTTTTTTTTTTATTTATTTATTTTACATATATATGCTTTTATCCATTTTTTGCAGCATTTCCACTTTTTGTTTAATGGACATCAAAACATGGTTTCGCTTTGTAGATCCTTTGGCAGTTCTAGAACTGGAAACTCTTTCCGATATAATTGAAAGTTCAAGCTTAATTTTTATAAAATTGCTGTAATAATAACAGTCTGCAAAAAAAGGAATAAGTTGGATCAAATTAGAAGATTAAGGAGCAGCACAGTCTGCTACATTAACTGAAATGCCTTAGAATCAGTAAAGGTAATTTTAGCCTAGCTTAATAGCGCCCGTTATACATTATTGGCTGTGTATCACAAGATTGGCAACGAAAGCCAAGTTGTTTCGCGAAATTTTGTCTTGCTCTTATTGCGTACTGAACTAAGCCTGAATTGTATTAGTTAATTACTATTTTTTTGTCAGCCCTATCCTTATCTTCAGGCCAGATTTTTTTATTTTATTTGGCTTATAATTTCTTACTAAATGTAATATTTCATCTCGATGTACTCCGTCTTTGATATGATTTAAATAAAATTTCTCGTCATTCTAAATATCACAAATACACATAAAATAGTTTTCTGGTTGCAATTTTCTAATTTCGACTATGCGTAATGTATGCTTTACGCATCCGCGCGTTGAAAGAAATGTTTACTAAAGTAAACAAATAAATATAAAGCTTTTTCTTTGTAAATTTTGATAGCCTTTAGATCATAATTTCTCTTTATTTCATAAATTATGGTTTCATATTTTTAATTTTATAATTTCTGCATGCAATCTTACCAGATTTAAATTGATGAGCGGAAAAACCGATAATCCGGAATCGCTAAAGTCCCGACGAGTCTGGAAGTCTGACTTTTGACTGTACATCCACTTACAGGTCAAAGAGTGCCTTCTGAAGAAAAGAGGGTCAAGTGCGAATTTAAAAGAAAATTTGAGTCACTTTCAAATTAGATTGTTGATGATGGTAGATGGAAAAAAATTTCTGCTCAAGGCAATGTTGATCAAAGTAACTTTGATTTTGCCATCAATAATTCTTTCTTAATAAAAATCTATTAACAAACTTAAGTGTATTTCACCGCATGTAGGTTATACTTCTAAAATGAGCTCCACCTTCTTTTTCTTGAGATTATCTTACTGGAACTAAATAATGCAATCTTAATTACTGATTTCCACACTCATGTGTATATCATGGGGGGATCGATACATCTAATTAGCTATAACAAATATTTTATATTGAATATGTATCAAACATAACAAACATCAACTCAGTATTTATCATCGTTTCTAAAAGATCATTTCTCTCACTTCTTTCCAGCACTCGAAAAATACACATATACATTTATTTAGATTGTTTTTTAGCATGCTTAACGAAAATGTGATAAATGCTAAAACTCTGAATAGAAGTACTTATTTATAGCTGAATGTTTTCCTTGCTCTGGTAAAAGTTTAACTAGTCGAAAACCCCTAACAGACGTGAGGTGAATTATCACTATGTCTGAAAGTAACTAGAAAGTCAGATTCAGGTTTAAATAAACCTTTTTTATTTAACCTTCCAGCTTGCGCGTGTGCGCAAAATTTACGACAAATTCAGTTTTAATTCACATTTTTCGCATATTGAAGCTGAGACATCCTCAAGTCATTTCTATTCCTCCTTTCTACCGTTCCCCACATCATGGAATAGGCCAACAGGAAGCCATTTGACTTTTTTCTTTTTTAACTAGGCTTTTGTGCTATGTCGCAGTGTTTTCATAAAATTTACGACACGCACGCTGTCGTGTTTTAAAATTCGGAAATATTTTCTCAAATATTTTGCAATTTTGTGTTATTAATTGCCGTGTATTATTTTAATTTGAATACATTTGGCTCTGTAAATTTTATATCGGTTTTCATGGCAAAAAAAAAAAAAAAAAAAAAAAATGTGCAACCAGCTGATTTTGCTTGGATTCTTCAAGAATTATCTGATGAAGAAAAGAACACAAGGAAATCTTTGGATCATGATGCATAAGCAAAGTTTAAAGTTATGAAAACATTTAGCAGAAATAGCAATAGAAGCTCCCTAAGATTATATACTGTGCAGACATTGAAGACAAAAAGTTTTAAATTTAACCAATTTATTAACAATATATATAAAAATAAATATACAATAAATAAGTTTAATCAACACCAGAACCACCAGAAGAGTGTAACATTATCAAAAATTACATTTAGTTGACTATTCATTAACCCCAAGGGTTTTTCCTTTAATGAATATTCCACTATTAATGATATAGCAAATATATTACCTGATCTTTGAATACTGGTATTCAATACGCGAAAAACATATCACAGAACAAAAACTACGCAGTTAATATGAAATTCACTTCACTATAAATAGGTCCATGCGTTTTGGCCAAGAAGGCACCTGAAAAATTAAACTAAACCCTGAGTGCACTTGAACTGCCAAAAGCCACTCACTGTAGTTGCTCACGAGAAATCACAGCTTGGAAAAACATCGCCGCTAGTCCTGGAAAAACACTTGTATTGAAGATGCCGCCTTCATGAAAACAGGATGCCGCCCACGGCAGTTGATCACCAGAAATCACAGTTTGGATTTTGACGTTGCTTAACCTTGGAAACAGGATGCCGCCCATGGCAGTTGACCACCGGAAATCGCAGCTTTGCAGAATCCAGGAAAAATCATCATGGACTGGAACCATGGTACTTATCGCTGGACGGTACGCATCCACTGGGTCTTCCAATGAGCACAGGAACGGCACACCAAGGAGCAATGAAACAGGAACAAAAAGGAATAAGCCAGAGCGATGCAAGATACTTGTACCTGAAGTAGACATGACGTCATCTCACGGCAACCAATCAGCTATCGGCACGACTCAGCTTTCCAGATGACGTAACATCAAGTTTCGTTTTTGCATCTTAATTAGGCTGGAACAGTCCGTTCTTAATATAAACCATGGCAGTGAAAAACGAAGTAGAAGTAATTGCTATAACCCTCTAAAATAAGAACTAAACCTTATGTTAGAGTTAGAATTATTTCAGGGAGGAGAGATGATGCAGAAAAAGGGTTACAATAGGTCATATTTTCAACAAATGCCCCCCACATCATCACCTCCGACCTGAAATAAAAAAACTGAACGCCAGTATTTTTATAAAATTCAAAACAAGAATAAATAAACATAAATGTAACACTACACAATTCCATTCAATTCAGAATGTTTAGGGATGATGTGCACATTTTATCCCATTTTTCAAAATTTTACCATAATACAAAAATCCAACATGTTACAAAACAATAGAAAGACATATGTATGATCATGCATTCAATACATTTACCCGGGGCCCTGGTCAATCACACAACATTCATTCTATACAATACAGTCAAAAGTCGTTAATCTGGACTCGTCGGGACTTCGTTGATTCCGGTTTATCGATTTTTCCGAGTTATAGATCATCAGTTTAAATCTGGTAAGATGGCATGTAGAAATTATAAAATTAAAAATATGAAACCGTAATTAATGAAGTAAAGAACAATTATGATCTAAAGGGTATCAAAATTTACAAAAAGAAAAAGCTTAATATTTATTTATTTACTTTATTAAACATTTCTTTCAATATAAGTTTTTTGAGTTGCTTCATTTCATGTGATAATACTTTCTCTTTAATTCTATTAAACAGACATAATTTCTTGTTTAGTTACAAAGTTCCGCTGTTTAAGTCCTATAATTGCCGAGTCGAGAATACGGACTAATTTGTCAATCGAAATTTTTTCGTTTTCAATAACCTCTGCGTCACTTTCTTCACTATCGGAAGTGAATTATAATGACGAGGAACTTGATTTAAATCATATCAAAGACGGAGTACATAGAGATGAAATACTACATTTAGTAAGGAATTATATAAGCCAAATAAAATAAAAACATCTGCCCTGAAGATAAGGATAATGCTGACAGATCAACTTCCAATTCATTCCCCCCCCCCCCCGCAGAGCAGCGTGAAATTTATAAACAGATTTTGGAATGGTTAGATAAACAAAGGATTATGCCTTTATCCATTTTTTGCAGCAATTCCACTTTTTGTTTAATGGACTTCGAAACATACTTTCGCTTCATAGATCCTTTACATATTAGTAAATATATATCGGAAATTCTATTTGACATAATTGAAAGTTCAAGCTTACTTTTATAAAATTATTGATGGATTTTATAATTAAAATTTTGGAATATTTGAATATCGCTTCCGAAAATTGTTACAAGATAAGCAACTTTTTAAGTATATTTTCAAGTAAAATAAAGAAAAAAAATGTTATTAAGTGCTAATTTTATTTAACATACATAAGAGCTCAAGTAATAATCTAAAATGATACCCAAAATTATGATGCTAGAAGCGAAACTTTTTTTTCCCTGATTTTTTTTTTATAAAATTAGGCTTAGCGATGCAAAACTTCCATCTTATACGTTAACTGCCTTCGATTCCCTTCCGTCCCGCACGAGCGTCTTAAACAAAGGTGCGCTGTCGCAAAAGGGTTACAAAACGTCTTGATCGAAATTGGTGTTTATAGAAACTACATTAGCCAAAATGTTAGCTAAATATTTTTTCTTTACGCTCTGCATAATTGTGCAATTTATAATCCTTTACCCTCATGAAGTTAAATGGATAAACTAGAGACAGTTTTGATAGGTACCAGTAAGATATTTTAGCCCTGAAGAATCAGTTTTCTTGCCCATCTATGTTTTGTAAATAGTGAAGTTGAGTTTAATAAATGGTTGTTTCTCTAATAATTAGTATATATTTGTTTTGATTCTTGGAAAATTTTAACATAATAAGCAGCTTCTTTTTATTAACTAGTAAAATTAAATAAGCTGTGGTTACTGTATTCATAAGTGATTTTTGCCTGTTGACATGAAAGATAATTATTTTTGGATTTTTAAATTAGCCCCCTGATGTCAAAGAAGACGACGAAAGTGAAATTCAAGCAGAAGATCAGAAGCCAACAGATGATTCTTCCAAAGACAGTGATAAAGATAGCATAAAACAAGATAGTGCAAAAGAAGAAAGTGGGAAAGAAGAAAGTGGGAAAGATGAAAGCGAAGATGAGAATGAAGAAGGTAGTTAAAAAAACTTTTTATTATTTTTAAGAAATTTTTCAGAAGCTAATTAAATATTTTTTTAGTAACTAATAAGCAGTGTTTGATGTTTATTATACTGTATGTTATCAGCTGACAACATTTTAGTCACTTTTCTTTATGCAAAGAAGATTTTGAAAAATATGTTATTTATACTGCATTTCATGTAACTTCTTGAACGTAATAGTCTGTAAACATAATAAATATAAATTCGTTATAAAGTTGTTCCATCTTTTCAGTTTCTATTGTAGTTTCGCTACATGAAAGTACTAAACATTCAAAAGTAATTTGGTATTTAAAATGCATTGCAATTTTTATTTCTGCCTATGTAATCTGTGCTGGAATTTCTCTTCATCATTCATCAGATATATAAGAAATAAACTGAAATATCCGCATTTGTTCTTTTTTTAATGAAAACAAATCTTGGTAGTTAATTAAACCCAAATCCAAATTATATGTTAACCTCTTGGGGGGGGGAAATCATATGCATTTTGCAGCTATTAACCTTTTGCATGCAGCTGTTTGTACATGTCAAGCCCTATAAGGCAACATGTTAAATGACTAAGTAAGAGGTTTTGTGCAGACTTGTTACTCAATAATAAATTGGATCTACTATTGGCAACGTTATAGAGTTTCTTTAAAGCCAGCCATAAGTTCCACTGAACATGCATGTTGGATTTAAGTATCTGATATATAAGAAATAGACTGAAATAACTGCGGTTATTTTTTTAATGAAACAAAAAAATCTTGTGATTTAATTAAACCCAGATCGAAAGTATCATATGATTAGTTCTGCGGGTAAACATTTTTTGCATTGTTTTACAGTTATTAACCATTTACAGATAGCTGTTTGTACATTTTAAGTTTTGCTAGGCAACATGTTAATAAACTTAAATAAGAGGTTTCCTCCAGACTTGATGCTGAATAATAATTGGTTCTACTGTGGGCAGTATTGTAGAGTTTTTTAGAGCCAGCTATAAGCTGCTAGACCATGGGTGTATTCAATGCAGTGAGCAGTGAACATTTGTGAACCGATGAATCTGTAACTTACATATGTACCAGGGTTCGTAGCGGTCCTTATAAGTGCTTATAAGTCTTTATATTTGAAAATAAAATATAAAGGCCCTTATAGGTGCTTACTTTTGCTTTAAAGCCCTTATTTTTTGCTTTTAGTGCTTTTTTTTTTTTAATGAACGTGCTATTTTTCCCCGTACCAAAGCCGAAACTAAATAAACAACTTTTCTTCCTAATATGGAATGTCAGATGGTGAGTCATACTCCCGGAAATAGCTTTCTCCTTTCTCTGCATTAACATAACCTTTGTTGTGCACGAAGAGTAGGCAGGTGCCCGTCGTTCTGTTGCGAAAGCAGTAGAAAATCCCGCTACATTCGGCATTCTTTTCCTCCCACCCAAATACTACACACGTTTGAAATTCTATCAAGATCTTAAAAAGATTTGCATTCTCGTTCTGCTTGGTCAGTTCATATTCGTGTTTATTATGATTGTTATGCTTATATTACGAGCATATGTATGAATGTTTATAATAACATAGTTGCAGTAACTTCTGAAGTATAGGAAACTTCCAAAAATGGTTATGTTTTAACACAGATTAGCTTTCTAAGGAATAATATTCGGAACGGCTTAAATAAAGGGAAAGTCAAAATAGTTTAATTTTTTTGGCCAATACAGTATGAAGGTTGGGAGGTCTCCTCTTTCTCCGCAAAATCTTGAATATTGAAACTTACAGTTCGCTGCAAAACAATCAACGGACCTTTTTTGGGGGGGGTCACTTTCCAATCTGGATTGAATAGGACTAAAAGTTCTGCGGTCTACCAACCCAAGCGAAGAATGATTCTATTCCGGAAATTTAACGCCGTCTGTTGAAAATTAGAATGAAAAACACTCCAGCTATTTAGTTCTTTTTTCTCCCAATACCAGCAGTTGTTGATTCCGATTGCGTAATGTCACGTAGGGAAGAATTACGGCGCATGTATTGCACAATAATGTTTGCGATATTTTGCAGAGATAATCAATTTTGATGTTCAGTCCGAGATTTGTTTATGAGCACTTAAAAGAGTTTTACTATGCTTGCTAAGCAGAATATTTTTTAGTTCAGTTGGTTTATTTTTATATGATGCACATATTGAAATATCAAAAGCATTTATTTAGGGAAAAATCTAAAGAGCGGCTACAGTCTACTCCCCCTCCGCTCCTTCAAGTTACGCTCGACTGCCCGAATATTCGCCAATTTCCAAGTATGTGGGTTAGTTAAGCGTTTACCGTTAAAGATGACTGCATGAAGCAAATTTCTATCATCTGATTTCAGAAATGTTCCTTTTTTTTACTTAAATTACTTTGCTTGCAATATCTGTTAAGAGAAAACTGATATACAATGAAAAGTTAGAAAATGTTCAGAATTTATATTTAAATTATTTAAATATCAATATGAGTGGAAAAATAAATTGTATTTATTATTAGGTTCCAAGCGAATACAATAAATATGCCTTATTATTACTTATTTTCTCTATTTTGAACTGAAATTTCATCATTAAATCTTGTAATATAGTTTAGTTCTTCATAGTTTTTTTTTCTCTCATTGTAAACTAATTCTGTAAATTGAACTATTATTTAAAATTAAAAACAAAAAAAAAGTAATTATTTTCCATGGTTGAAGTAATGCTTATTCTCTCGTAATAAGTACTTCATTTCTCATATTTTAAATTACAAGTCTAATTTTTAAGGTTATGCAGTTGTGTATGATGTAATTAGGCAGGTGCTTATTTTTTTCTTAAAATGGGCTTGAAAAGTGCTTATAGGTGCTTATTTTTTTAACTAAAATGTGGCTATGAACCCTGTGTACTTAAGCATCATCGTGCACTTCCAATGAATATACATGTGTCGTCTATACATTCATTGAAGCATTTGCTTAAGTAAACACAGTCGCATCAATCATGAAAAGCTGATTCTCCAGTCTAGCTGGCATCGGTGTTCCATAAATATGTTTCAGGTCAGATAAAGACACCCTAAAATGTCTCGGTGGTCCACCGGTCGATCAGGATTGATTTAATGTCCATCCCTGTTCTGAACAAAAGGCTATATGAGGCAGGTGCAACACTCAGCTCTTGGGAAAACAGGACACACAATAAACATACCTTAGGAGATCACACTATTAGCCAAAAAACCATTGCTACAAAGAGCTTGAATTCACTTCGATTCCACTCAAGATCTTTGATTCAGCTGTCAGACAGCATTCTGTTGAATTATTTGTAATTGTAAGTGTATAATTTAAATGGAAATGTGCAATTGATGGGACATACCAAGAATACAACTTTTATAAATTTACTGATGTAATTAAGTAACTATACTTCGCGGCAAGCTAACCTGAGAACACATACAAGGCTAGAACCACCTTTTTACAGCTTTTCACCCTGTTCTTCAAGTTATCCATATGCAGTAAACTGCCCGCAGATATTCAATTCCTCCAATTTGCTACACATTTGTTGATTTCTTGCCAAATCCAGCGTATTTAAATAAGATTTTTTTCAGTGAAACTGCAGTTGAAATTAATAGTTTATTATAGTGCAAAATGTAGGCCATGTTATTCATTGTCTTAATTTATGTTAAATATTTCACTATTTTCGAAATGTGACAAATACTAATTTGATGATATTTAAAACTTGAAACCGGAAGCGCTAGCAATTATTCCTTGCAGTTTTTGTCAAACTCCCCCCCCCCAAGACCATTCTCTTAGTTAAAAGTAAAATATATATAAATTTGGAAAATCTGGTAGTAAGTTATTTTCTTTTAATTTTTAAGATTTTATGTGGGTTGTTACCAAAACAGTGAACGAGGGGAAATTTTTTATTTTTATTTTTTAAAGACGTTAATTTGATTTTAATTTGCAATTGTTTAAAAAACTCTCACAATATTTTATAGCAGACATCATGAAAATTATATCCTGTATTAATTGTTAGAAAAATATTAAAGCTTTAAAATTGTGAAACAAACATAAAAATTAAGAATCAAATGATCTTGCACCAATTAATTAATCGTATACCAATTAATTCCACTAATCAATTAAAATTATAACATTAGAAATGTCTTATATTAGTTACAACAAAGCGCAAATATTCATAAGAACTAAAAAGTATTAAAAAAAATTTATTCTTAAGTGCATTTATTGCTTTTAAGACATTTGTCGTATTAAACGACAGTTTCCTTGTATTTAAAAAAATTTTTATTCTTTGACGAGTGAAACATCTATGCGTGACGCGGCATGAAAGGTGGGTCTTTTGCTTCGCGAAAAGGAATATATTGCTTTTACATCTCTCAATTTATAAAAAGCAGACTGATTCAGCTAACTGAGAATCTGTGAATTATATGTGAATGACTGTATAAGTTAGGAAAAAAAATCATACATTTATTTTGAGGTTTTTAAAACAAGCATATCAAATGGAAAAAAAATCTGGTTATTCCTTTCCTTAGGTGGAATCATCTGCAAGTCAAGCGCATTAATGATAAGAGTTGCTTAAGCCTTGAAACACTGGTAGTATGTAGCGAGTTGGTTGTAATGGCTTTTGTAAGATTTGAACTGCATAGAAGTCCCTCAGTGTGTTGTATAAAAAAAGGTCCTTTACCCTTATAAATTCCCCATGAAGCCATCTCATCCTCTAGACAGAAACCCTTGTTCCTTCTACCATAGTTAATTTAATTGATCAGTACTTCTGTATTGGTTAGGTTAGGTGATTTGAATATAGTAGAAGCACAGAAGAGATATCCAACTAAGGGGTGAGATGCATTTCGTGGAGGACTTTCTAAAGGAAACAAGCTTGTATTCAGGTTACACATGAGAAAACCACCAAAACCGACCATGAATACTGCCCATTTGCTCGCGCTCAAACGATTTAAGCACTCAACTACTGGTGCGACACTTCTAAATTATATTTTCTAAGGGATTGGTTAGCTTGTATAACAGTTATAATGTTATTTATAACTGTTTATAGGTCTGCCTTTTTTTTTGCCTTGAAAACGGCTGTTGCATTTTTAATTTGTGGCATTGGAAAGGGCTTTTTTTTTAAACTGAGGTATTCAATCCCGCAATGATTATAACAAGTAACAATATGGTTTATCGTATTTATTAGGAAAATGCCCTCTCGTAATTGACAAAAACATTCATTACTATAATCTTAGCAGTACTGTTTATTTAGGTTTATGAGGTTTTCCAGCTTTATGAGGGTGAAAATTATACACATATGTTGAAGATGAAGCAGATACCATAACAATGGCTTTTTTCTCCTCCCGGTTAGTGGGGTGAGGTCGGGGTTGTTGGAATTTGCAGTTTTGCCAATAATGCCCAAAAAAGGGGATGTCTTCCGGCTGGTCATTGAATGATTGACATGATTTAGCAAATTTTTAAACAAAAAGCTGGACGCAACGTAATCTATCGTTTCACACATTTTTTCCTTTTCTTCTCTTTGTCCAACAGTATTCATATATCACAGCTTAAATTTTACAATATTACTTCTCGAAATGGTAGAACTACATTCTATGGTGGACGCTTACACTTTCTACTATATCCAGTGTTCTCAGCTTAAGTTGACCTGAAGTGTAGAACAGAAACTGTAGGGATTTCAAAAGCTTATTCTCTATGGGACACCGTATACATAGCAATATAATTATGCTTAAAAACATCAGAGAATTGGAAACGTAGCATCCATACAACTTTGACATTGTGCACTGGCCAAAACAGACGTGCATACCTGGATTGCCACATAACTGTTTTGCCAACATATTGCCTCATGTATACATTTAGTCTTCATCGTGCAAATATGTCATGTTTTCTTTACACATATCTAAAAAAATTATTTTTGCAGCATATTTAGCAGTTATAAACTAATGCTAAATTTAATTGCTTAATTAGTATAAATTAAGTATTAATGTTATGCTATGTTAAATTAAGTATTGAATTAGTTTTAAGGATAAACTTGAATATTGCTGAATAGAAATGTCTGCCATTTGGTTGTTTTTATTTAAATAAAAACCTTTTCAGTATATGTACTAATGTAATTAATATTTTTTATGCATATATAATTTGAAGATATTGCATACATTTATGAAAAAAATTGCTTATACTGTTAAAATAATCTTCAGCATTACTTGATGAGCACCATTTAGAACTTCAATATATTATGTCATTTCATCTGTTATTAAATGGTTCAATGTAAAGAGAATAAATATATTAAAGTTGAAATAATAAAGATTACTAATGTTTGGATCGTATTTAATCGAAAAAAAGTACTTTGTGCGTAAAGTATAGTAAGCTTATGTGGCACAAAGCAAAAAAGAGAAGAGAAAATTGTTAAGCATTACTAATTTTTTTAATTTTTAAAGCTTGAACAAAATAACTTGAAAATCTGTAGATTATGTATCTGGTTGAAAATATAACAGTTTCTTAATTAAATGGAGCATTCTTTAATAATTTTATAGATTGGCTTTAAATATTAAAAAAAATAGTGAACTTTTTCAATTTCTTATTTCTATTTGTAATTCTACTTTTTTTTTTAAATATTTATAGTTTCTTTTATTTATAGCATTAGTTGTTTATTGTTTGCTATTTGAATGTTAACATTTTCAGTACTTTTCCATTTGGGTGGTGCAATTTTCCATTTCGACGGTGCAAGGATAAATTCGCTGAAAATGGTACAACCGATGCCAAACATAATATCCTCGCTGATAACCTTTCAGGTCACCTTTTTCAAAATAAGTCACTACTATTTCTTATCAGCTTGATCCGTTCTTTCAATATTGGCATGCAGTTACATAGATTTTTTAAAATTATAATATTGAAATAATTCTTGCATTTAAACTCGAATTCCATACTAAGATTTAACTTGAAATTAATGTAGATAATTACTGAGAGAATTGGATTTTTGTAGCGTAGTTTACGTGAAATGAGATGATTTGAGGTTATGTGATATGAACAGTCTTTTTACAAATATGTCAAAAATTGATGAAAAACAAATGAAAATTTGGGATTTGCCCAGGATTGAGGAAGAATCTGTCAGATTCTTTCAAGCGAAAGGTGTTTTGCCTAACATTGCTATTTGTGATAATAATCATGAAATGAAATTATATTTCGGAGACTAAATTCAATTGCGCTGCAACCTTTCAACTTGCCGAAGTAAAAGAAGCATACGGAAAGGCTATGATTTGAATCATCGTGATTGAATTTCTTGAAGTGTGTAAGATTTATTTATGGTTGGAGTGAAGAATTAACTTCAGTTAAATGGTGTTAAAAGCAGTTTGAAATCAGTCACAGAACAGTTGTAGATTGGAATAACTACATGCGAGAGGTTTGTGTGGATTCTTTACTTAAATGTCAACAACACAAAATAGGAGGACCTAGTATGATCGTTGAAGTGGATGAAAGTATGTTCACAAAGCGGGACGGATTTTACCACAACAGTGGATCTTTGGTGGAGTTTGTCGTGAAACAAACGAATGTTTCCTTGTGATGGTGCCAAACCGATCCATGAGTATTATATTAGAGGCAATAAATGAAAATATCGAAAAAGGAACTACGATATATTCCGATCCATGGAATTCATATTACACTGAAAAACTGGAAGAGGAAAGTTTCGAATATTTCAAAGTGAGCCATAAATGCAATTTTGTAGATCCAGAAACTGGAAAATACATGCAAAAAATAGAAAGACTATGGGGGTAGCACCAAATGGCAGAATTAGAAACACTGAGGAACGGCACGTCATCATCTGGAAAGTTACCGCGCCGAATTTATGTGGCGAAAGGACACAAAAGACCCATTTGAAAAAATTTTAAAGAATATTAAAATATTTATGCCTCCAAAATAAAAAAATTCTTAAAACTAACATTTGTTAACATTTTTTATGTGTATAATGTGTATTGTTGCATATAAAGTCTGCGTGGTGAGATTTGCTACGGAGAAATAAAAATGGCGAGGTTTGCGTCAGCGAAACGGAAAATTACCAAATTTTCTTTATTTTCTAATTTCATTTTTTAATATTTTGTAAGTACTATTTTTAATGAAGAATTTCAAATTTGTTGTAAGTTCAAAGAATTTATAGGTTATATATTTATAGTTTTTCTTGCTATCATACATTTCTTTATTTTTCTGTATATTAAGTGCAAGTTTTTTTAAAAAAAGAGTTACATGCATTCATTAGTGTAGAAAATTTTGAGCTAAATATCATATTACTGTTAAGTAACCTCTGTATTATATTTAAGCAAAATCGATATGTTTAGATTAGCTGAAGTCAAAGGTGCAGTAAAAGTCCCCCTTACCAATGCTTATTCCCCCTCACCATAAAAAAGAGAACATGAACTGTAGTAACGGTGTATAGTTAACATGAAAATGAATCTCAAGGGGGGGAGTTCTTGTCTGGGAGAAAATATGTATTTCATTTTTTCAGCAATAGAGGGCACTGTGCCATATTATTAGGCACTGTATTGAAGATGACTTATTCTCTTGGAAGAAACATTTTGCTTAATCAGATAATTGTTCAGGATCAATAAAAGAAATTAGTACCATAGCTATTTTTAGTACACTTGCTGTTGGCAAAACTTTTGGCTACAAATTTACCCTTGTGATTCATTTTCACGGAAATTGTAAAAAGTATTTATTTGGTTTTTATAAATTTTTGAAATCCTTTTGACAATTTTCCCAAGGTGGGGTCAAAATAATTGTTCTGTTCTGATTCTGAAGTCCATTATTTTCTCTTTGATAATTGTGTTGATTTTCAGTTTACAGAACATAAAAAGATATTTCAAACAAATAGGACCTCCTATCTCATAGTATTAGTTTATCTTATAGTAATTAATTGTCTTTCAGTGGGTCTTCTTGATAGGCCAGTTGAGGTAACTGGTTGTCGAGCAAGAAAAAAAGTTGAACGCCTTGAGATAAGTTTTGCGACTTCCAAGGAAAAACAAGAAATTCCTGTAGGTAAAGGACAAAAGCTTGGAGAATGTCCACGAAGTGAGCATTTCTTAATTGAAATTTTTAAACAATTTAAATTTTAATGTATTTTAGTAAGATTTTTACAAAATTAATCAACAGTGCTTTAATTTTCAAAATTAATTTTTATTGTGGTTTCTTAAAATTTTTTGGACTATTTTTTAGCTACTAACAAGATTGCTCTGAAAATTTGTTGCAAAGGAAGATTGCTAGAATTTAAGAATTGAGAAGGATTATATATTTGTTTAATTTTTTCAATATATCTTTTTAAGTTAATGCTTTTAGTTGTTCTAAAGTAGTAATACATTTAATGTTCAGGGTAAAATTTTTCTTCCATAGTTGAAATAGGCTTTCAGAAATTTAGCACACATTAGTAAAACAACAAAAATAGAAAGGTAAAGATTTGACACCGTCTTTCAAAAATTAAGGATGCAGCAGTACAAATCAACAAAAATGAACATCTAAAGCCTCGATTGTGACCAAATTGGGCAGAAGACAGCAGAGATGAAAAAATATTTAATTTTCGTAAATTATATGGTGATGCCATTTTGGGTCATTAACAACTTATTGGTGAATATGGATGTGCAGATACAGAATGCCTGAGGACATGCTAAGGGTTTCAGTCTGTTTAAGATCAGGAGATACAACTGCCAGTCCATACAAGAAATTCCTTCACTGTGCAGGTACTTCCTGACAGTATTGACTTGATGGGGGTGGACATTATCATCCATAAGAACCAACATAAAATATTGCATGGGTGGTAACCCTTGGTTGACTTCATGCGGGTCTCTGGACAATTGTTTGACTTGTTATGAATTGTTTCCTCATTCAAAAAATTACTGAAATATCAAAACCAAAGAAACAAGTGACTTTTTTTTGGTTGATTTTCTGCTTTAATGTGTCTGACAATTCGCCAACACCATTTGTCTTCTGTCAGCTCTAGAAATGTGAATGTCATAAAAAATTATCCTATGAAAGTTATAAACACTTTGTATCAGCATTTAAATAAGCTTCCTGAAACTGCAGAATAATAAGCAGTAATCATAAATGACTCTACTTATCGTGTTTGGACAGTCAGTCGTGATTGGCTGTAACATATTTTCATCTACAACGATTTTCAGCAACTCGTGGTCAACTAGGCTTTAGAAAATTGCAAATTTGCATTACATTCTTAACTTTCAGAAAACAGTGCATGTGGTAACTGTTATAAAGACAAAGTTCAGTTTGGTGTCCAGCTAACTTACCTATGTTTATGCCAGTTCAGTTTTTATATCAATTTGAAGAAAGTGGTGGCTTTGTCCATTATGTGAATGTGCTGTTTAATGTTGGTTTAAAAATCCAGCAAATAATCAAAACAGCAAGGTGCATCCTTCTTTTAAAAAATCCCTTTCTATTCCTTGGTGCTTGAATTGGACAGTTGCACTGGAAATGTATGCATCTTGGTGTATACTAGACTTCTTCCTTATCTGCATGTCACTGCTGCTGATACTCTAGGCCAGCAGTTCCCAAACTTTTTCGACCCATGGATCCTTTTTTTATAGTCAAAAGTTGCCCATGGACCCCCAAAGCTACATAAATGCATAATAATATAAAAATTACAAATTTAAAGAAACATTTTGTTGAAGTATTTATTGAAATTATAACTTTTGTTTAAAATAAAATTGAAAAAAATTAATGACCTTGGATGAACTTGGTGAGATGTTATGAGTATTTATGTTGGGCTCAATGTTTGTGAGTAGCAACCGCAAATCCCACACGACCACTAATTTTTAGTCGGTTTCCCCCCTTGTGACGAGGTTCGTAACAGCACTGAATTCACGTTCTACCAAAATGGAAGATGGGAAAGCGGTTAACAACTTCTGTACAATAACCCATAATGCAAAATATAAAATTGGAATCTGTGTTTGGGACCAGAATTTATGGTATCCTTGTTCAAATATTGATTTTAAGTTCCTCATTTGATATTTCATTAAGCTTCTCCTGTATGAGTCTGGATTCATCTGTGTTTGGGATTTGAGTTTGTCCATGCGCGAAAGGGTTCAACACCTTGTTGGGATTATCCAAGTGAAGAATGTCTTCAAATCTTTGGTTCAGGTCTACATGAAGAGGCATTGGGTGTTGACAGTAAGCAAGCAAATTTTCATCTCTATTTTGCAATTTTGAATTTTGAAAGATTTGGAAACTGAGAACATTCTCCTCTTCTCAAGTTTTGTTTGTACAGAAAAAGTTTTGCAATAAATGCAGATTTTACGCTTTTAGTTTTGATTAAATTTAATTGGTTACCTTGTGGTTTCAGATTAGTTTCGTTAAATTTGGCAAATAAATCAGTCATATAGGCTATGTCATTTTTGAGTTAATTAAATTGTGTCACAAATTATTGTCTTTGCTTTCCAAGAATTCCAACACTGAATCAAAGAACGCATAAAATCGATTTTAACATGCACTTTGATGATGAACTGCATGCATCTTATAACATTTCTTTATTGATTCCAAAGTTTGGAAAGCCGTACACTATTGATGAAGAACTTATTTTACCAGCTGAAAGTGAAGTAATATGCACCATGTTGCATAAACTAGCTTTCAACATTATAAAAAGTATTCCACTGAGTAATAATACAGTACAAAAAAGGATTGACGAAATGGCTCAGACTAAGAAAATTTGTTTATACACTTCATATCAGCATAACATAGAACTAAATTGTTGATTAGATGTCCGACTCTTTTATGTTTATGTTGTAGCAGGGCTGTTCCTAGGCCATTGGCTGCCCGCGTACTTTCTTGAGATTGCTGCCCTCAAATTGAAAAAAAAAAAAAGCTCAATGATTAGTAAAGTTTTTATTTCATATTGACTGAGTTCTTTCATATAACAAATTGTATAAAAAGTACTTGCTATTGTATAAAAAGTAAAAATATTTAGGCATGGTATCACTCCAGTCCGGCCACCTGCGTACCTTTACGTGCTGCACCCCCACTAGGAATAGCCCTGTATTGTAGACAAGTTAGTTCATGTAGTGGCATTATTGCGTTACTGTACAACCCTGTTTTTGGCCGTCTATCTCGCACAGTGCTATGCTTGTTAATAACTTAAGTAGTTGTCGGCATCTAGAGCTATTAAATCATAGGCGTGTGTCAGTGAATTATTTAAAATTTTCTTTTTTGAGGGATTATCTCAGTTTTTTATTGTTATTTTGTTGTTATAATGTTGTCAGCGTGCTGATGGAAATTGAAAGCTTAAATTTACTGAAATGAACCATAAGTAAGTTTTAGTAATAACATTAAAACAAGTTATACGAACCACTGTTAATACAAGTGTCAAATCAGTGGAGATAAGTTTTCTCAATGCTCACCCACAAAAGGTATTACATAACCCTCAGTACTTAAGTAACAAACTGTATTTTGAGCTTGTACTTATATTTATATTTTACTCGGGATGTAAAAATCACTACTATTTTATTTATTATTTAATTTTCCATAACAATAAAAATGGATCAAAGTTTTATTACTTTGTGTTAAACCTTGCACGGATCCCCTGACTTTGTTCCATTGAGAGAGACAACTATAAATTGCTCTGAACAGAATCATAAAGTGGTCCGACAACAATGGTGTTAAATTTTCTAGCCAGGAGACCATCTGCGTGCATTTCTGTCACAAAAGAAATCTGCGTCTTGATGGCTCTTTGATCTGTGTTGAGCCAGAAGCAAAATTTTTAGTAGTTATATTTAACAGAAAGCTCACTTTCCTTCCACATATCTTAAATCTAAAGAAAAAATGTGCTAAAGCTCTCAATCCTGTATCCAATACCATGGGGAGCAAAACGTTCTATGCTCCGCATTTATAGAGCTTTAATCTGTCCCAAACTTGACTATGGCTGTGTTATCTATGGATCAGCAAGACCTTTTGTGCTACTGAAATTGGATCCAGTCTACCATCAAGCACTATGGATTTGCTGTGGAGCTTTCAGAACATCTCCAGTCCAAAGTTTTTATGTCATCTGTTTTGAACCATCTCTGAAATTCAGATGCAAGCAGTTGTCTATTAATCTTCATTATAAAGTAATGTCACAAGCCGAACATCCTGTCAGGTTCATGACATATGATCAGTACTGGCGTATCTACCAAGCACGTCCTTCATGTATCCCACCTAGTGATCTTCACATTCACTCACTGATTAAAGAGTTTAACCTAAAAGATCTGCATCCCAAAAGCTTTAAAGTTTTTTGTATTGCTCGCTGGCAAGAAGTGAATATTCACCTACTTAACATTTTTGGAGAATTTAAAAAGAGCAGTACCAATGATGTCCAATATCAACAAATTTCCCTAGAGCATAAAAGCAGTCATTCCAACTATAAAGCAATTTTTGCTGATGGCTCAAAGAATCATGGTCATGTCAAGGCAGCTTTTATTTGTGATAAAGAAATCAAGAGAAGTAAACTTCATAAGGCTGTATCTGTCTTTACTGCAGAAATGTTTGCCATTTTGAATTCCTTAATCTTTATCTCTAAGCGGAATAGCCGAAAATTCATAATCTACTGTGACTCTCTGAGTGCTCTTGAATCAGTAGATACAAATACTAGCCACCCTTTAGTTCTTAGAAAAAGCCTCACCTCCGTTTGAGAAATGCAGGTTATTCTATTGCGTACTGCTGGGTGCCTGGACATGCTGGCATCAAAGGCAATGAACTCGCCGATGTCGCAGCAAAATTTGCTGATATTACCTCTGAAAATGATGTCCCTTATACAAACATACGGAATTACATCAGAACAAAGGTCTTGTCCAGGTGGCAAGAACTCTGGGAATGCCAGACTCTGAATGAATTAAGGGAGGTAAAACCCAATTTAGAGTATTGGGATTTGAGAGGGAATCAAAAAGAGAATGTACTACTGACTCGACTACGAATTGGTCATTGCAGACCGACACATCAGTATCCCTTAAAAGGAGATAATGAGCCTATTTGTGGCACTTGCAATGTTCCTGTTTCAGTCAATCACATTTTAACTTGCTGTCTTGCTTTTAATCAGAAACGTGAATATTTTTTAAACTCTACAAATGTTAACAGATCTCATTGCAAGAAACCCTCACAACAACCTCTTAAGATTTTTAAAAGACATCTCTTTTTCCCATATGATTTGAAGTTTTTTCTTTTCCTTTTATCCTGCTCTACCTGTTGCTAGAGCATTTTTCGAATCATTTCTCCATGCCTTCATCAGCATTACAGGTTCATTTCAAAA